AGTCAGGGACAAGAGGCAGGGAGGCTTAGATAGTCCTGGGGGCAGTTAGGGCAGGGGTCCCAGGAGGGGTAGTCAGGGGCAAGGAACGGGGGAGGGTTGGGAGGTCAGGGGGGCGGGAAGTGGGAGGGGCAGGGGCGGGGCTAGGGCGGGGCTCCTCCCGTCCTCTTTTTTGCTCGCTGAAATATGGTAACCCTAGTTCAATTCATGTTCAATTCTGCTCAATGTCATACTGGTTTCTCTATTCTATTCAAAGATATGTTAAATTCACATGTTTAAAGAATAAATTGATACTATCATCTCTTCTAAATCTGATCTTGCTCCCATTGAAGTATATGAATAAAAATTAACTCTGCACAGATGGACCCTTGCATCAGTGTGGTACGACAATGACATTAAAGAGGCTTTGACCCACACAGAGCAGCTTGCAGGATTGGGGCCTTTCTTAGCAATTAACATACACTTTGTTATTATGGTATCTACATTTGGCAGAAACAATTATTAAAATAATCTCCCTAATACATGGCAACAATTAAATTTATTCCTAAGATTTTTTTTTCAGTAACAAGGGAATGAAAAATGTAGAGATCTTAAATAAATAAATCTCAACCCCGCAGTTTGCTTTCAAGAATTAGGAGTATTAAAAAGCCTCAGAATAATTCTCTCTCATGCAGACAAAAAGCTAATTTATATATCTATAAACTGAAAGGACTTAATTGTATATTTATTTGATACAATGTAAATTTCATGGAATATACTTCATAAATCAAAGCTAAATGCATCAAACCATAAAATAGGTGTCTTCAGTGGGTATATTTTTACTTTTAATGTTTTTTACCTTTTTAAAGTATAGAAAAAAATTGGACTTGATAGGCAAAGTGTAAATATTATTGTTTGTAGTATGTGCAAACTATAGTAACCTTTAATGCTGACGGGGTTAGCATTATTACCGATATGCAAAACCAATTTCATTGTATCTTAAAATTCATACCAAATCATAACCCATTGAAATTAAGCAAGCTCTGAAATCATCATGGTCCATCAGCCCATTCTTCTTCTATTGATCCAAGTAGCATCAGGAATATATGAGGGAAGGTTTGAGATATCAAAGACAGGCAGGAGACCATCACCATTTCCATACAGATGACAAATGTGCATCATCAGAAGATTGGATCCATGGAACGAGAGGATGTTCATTGGAGGTATTGCCAAAACAGGTCATGAGGAGCACCATCAATTTAAAGGAGGAAGAAGTAGCTAACACATAACGCACATGAAACAGACACACCACAGAGAATGATACCAAAAAAGGGGTGGGTTGAGTACAACATATGAACAGACAGCGCACAACCAGAAAGGAGAGAGAGGCAAGGAGAAAAGTTTGTCACTGAACTAGCCAAAGTCAGGAAAGGCAGGCTGGTTCATTGTGATACACCATACTTTTTAGGTTTCAGTGTTGGAAGGTTTATTAGAAACTATAATACTTTTTAGTGACTAGCAGTCTAGAAATGTTTGCATTTTGAAAATACTGTACTCGTGAGCCAAGACACACTGAGCTGTGTGCTGCCACATGGGAAGTGAATTCAAGAATTCTCTCTCTGATCTCTAGCTAATGGGACTCTGAGTACAATAGAGATATTAACCAGTGGGGTCGATGGAGGAAAAGTGTACTGTTTTGTATCCAACAGAAGTTGGTCAATGGCAGATCTCTTGTTAAAGGAGGATGTCCATATTCTCAGCAGCAGGGTGAGTGGGGCATTCATGGCTAATTGCACAGAGTGGACATTAAAATGGGATAGTGGTAGAAGACATGGGCAAAGGTCTATGTGTACTAAGAACACCCAAACAGCCAGTGAGGAACCCTGGTGTCATGGGTCCTCCTTGAGGGAGAGGGAGGGCTCCTGCTTGGAAGTATGAGCAGGAGACAATGGGCAACATGAACGTGTGATGGAAAAGGCAGCAGTGACCCACTGTGGCTCATTAGAATCCAAGTAGACTACCTTGGATCACACAAAAGCAGCAAAATGCAAACATTTTTTAAATCAGCTACATTTGAGTTTAAACCCAGGTCTCTTTAGGCTAGTATTATACCAGTCTATTTGAAAATAGTAATATGTTAGTTTTCTCTACCTGCAGGTCATTTCCAACCTGTCCTAGACTGATGAGGCAGGCTTTAAATGCATCAGGCTGTAGATCGCCAGATTCATCCTAGTATCACATCATGCATGCAGAATGTGCAAGGAGGAGGGAAAAGTCATAAAGTGGGTTAGTTGGTTAGTAAAGAACACTGCAAAGTCATATCAATAATGAGTTGTTAAGATGGAATCTAACTAATAAAAAAAGGAAGATTCATTTTCATTGTTTACTTTTTTCAGGAGATCTTAGCTGTTGATATTATGTGGCTTGATCCATAGCTTGTTGAAGTCAATTGAAAGGCTCCCATTTGACTTTAATGAGCTTTGGATCAGACCCACTGTGTGCTTGTTTATTGGTGTATTATTTTGAATGATTTGATAGCCTCATTGGTTTCATGAGTTTGGGGATTTGTTTGTTTGGTTGTTTTTTTACTCCAACTACAGTGTTGAAATGTTGCTTTTATACAAATAACATTATTTTTATTTTTTTCTGCATTTTCTCCGAAGAGGGATTTTTTGTTCTGTATTCTACCATTTTCATCCTTCATTTTCTGTCGCAATACAATTTGTGAGAGATAGTCAATGGATAACTTGACCTGGACAAAACTATTTTCCCACTGGATTAGGGTTGCTGCTTCTCCCTTGATCTGATAATATTTTTAAAAATTTGAGTAAGCATATCTTAGATAAAAGAGAAAAGAATTATATACTCATTAATTCATGGCCTAGATCAAAAAGAAAACCCTGATCAATGACATAACTTGTTTTAAACATTTGTCTTCTTATGACCCATTAAGATGAGGATCTTCTCTGAAAATTTATTATAAAAGTAGAATCATGGGATCCCACGTTTATTGTCTCCCAGTGATGCCAGATCAAATTTGCTCATTTTTTTCCAAGTACATTTTGTTTCTTTAATTACCAACTCAGCAAACTCACCCAGCATTCTCAAAACCAGACTGTTTTCTTTCCTTCCTGTTCACACCTCACCCATAACCCTGACCAAGCTGAGGCATATTATAGATTTAGTTAAGGGGCATGCAATTAAGGTCTGTCCCTAAAATCTGTAAATTGTTTCCCCTGCTGGTCTGACAAAGCCAGAGTTTGTACAACTTTAGATCACAGTTCCAGATCCAACTTTTTTCTGTGGCTTTTACACGAGAGAAAGGATCTCGGTCAGCTGATGAGTAATTTAAAAGGCGGGAGCCAAGCCTTTTTTTTTCTTTCTGACTCTTGTATAGTTATGTGTTTTGTTAATCATACATGCTATTAAGAGATGTACTGGGTGCATTTTATAAATTAAATAAATAAATTGGTGCCATAATCAGTTCCTGACCACCAACATTTTAAAGAGATAAGTAGGCGATTATGTTGGCTCTCTCTGCTGTCAACCTCCCACAGCTCCACTGTGTGAAGGTGAGAAAGAGCAGTACAATGCCGATAACCAGAGATAAAGCCGGATGAAAATTTCGAGGGGGATTGTTGAAACTAGTAATTACCAGCAAATCCTTCCCTTAATTTCAGTCAGATTTTATGGGCTAGTATTTGCTGGACAGAATCATATTTCAAACAATTCACAGAGCATTTCTCTTAGCACGTCAATCAGTGCTGGCTCATAACTCTCCAGACTCACCCCGGTCAGCTCCAGGGCCAAGTTACACCAGGGAGCTGAGGTCATTTATTTATAAGGGCACAAATCACAGTGTTCCTTAAATCAAAACAATATGAAAATAGGAACGAACGGCCAAATCCTGTCCCTCTCTCTACAAGCATAAAGGATCTGGCCAGTGGAGGAACTAGGCCATTCGACCACACATGGTTTGGTGGGGGACAAAATTTGTACAGGCACTCCTGCATGGTGTACAACCCAGCTGTTGCTGTGCAGCAGCTGTGTGGGGGCAGATTGAAGGAGGGGAAGTGTGAGGCTAGTGGATTCACTGCTACATGTATCTATCAATCATTCCTTCTGCAGAGGACAGGGAGAAGGTTGTAGAACAGCTAGTATCCACTTCATCAGCTGGGTGGGATTCCCCAGTGTACGGCCCAGTTGCTTGTGCTATGTACTGGGGCAGGATCCGAGGCTTAGTTAATTTTGTAATATGCATCAGTCCTGGTCCAGGAAAGACATATCTGCCTCTGCCATACACCAAAGCCACATAACTGCATGGGATATGAAGATACTTTACAATTAAGTCATAGATTTCTTTATATTGCCTTCTTCATTTTAAAATAAAGTGCAAGGGGTTATTCACAGAGAAAAAGTTCTTTGTATTATTTATATTTTTGTTATGGGCCAACATTAAATATTTAATTATGTTTTTAAAAGGATATAAAATAACTTTTCCTGTTCAACCTGTTTAGCCAACCCAGAAAAACACACTGACGTTCCCCATCTAGTTTCACTACTAGCCCCCTGAAACTTGTCCTTTTCCCTCTGTAATTTATACACAGCTTTACACAGATACAAACTTCCAAGCCACAGTAATGCATTCTCAAATGTGTTCTTTGGTATCCTGAATGTTAATTTATCTATATAAGCTTGTTGATGTGAATCCTTTTATAGGGAGCTGTTGTTTTTACTGTTAGATAAACCTATACAATCATATCTTTCTACTGTTTTCCATGCAGAGCTCCCATTTGAAATCAATGGTTTCACAAAAATCGAAAGTAGAATATGGCCCACATTTACTGACATTAACACGGAACACAGCCAATTCAATATTTATGATATTGCAGGTGTAGCTGCAGTAGATATTTTATCATATGCTTTGCAATTAGGGTTTATTAAAACATATTGAATCTGAAAAAGGAATCTGGAAACCATAAAGGGATTGAGAAGCACTGATTGCCAACATACACATTTCACCTGTGCATGATAAATCAATTAGACACCATTTGGAGCATCCAAAAAATTTTTGTTATATTTCAAATAAATTGTACCCCATATCTCCTTTATGTCTTTCTATTGCAGTACAAGGAATATAACAGTTTGGCAGCAGATTCCTATTTATACTTGGAGCTTGATTGTGCCTTTAGTCATAGCCCTGAGCAAGGAGTGGTGTGCCTTCTCGGGTGCCCCAGGAGGTACCATGCCACAACAACAACTGTCTGAGACAGTAAATTATGACCTCTCCTGTAGCAAGGGGGAAGCAGGGAGGGAATTAGAAATAAATAAATTTATTTTAATTTATTTATTTCTAATTCCGTCCCTGCTTCCCCCTTGCTACAGGAGAGGTCATAATTTAATGTCTC